GTATCCTTGGTCAATCTCATCATTTGCGTGGGAATATCGGTCGAGTTTTGTGCGCACATTGCACGTGCATTCATGTTCCCGTCGAGAACCGTCATGGAAAGTAACAACACAACTCTTCGTGGGCGCGACGCGAGATCCTGGACGGCACTCGTCAATGTAGGGGGGTCTGTCTTCTCTGGCATTACCGTCACAAAACTTCTAGGGGTCTGTGTCCTGGCATTTACTCGCTCCAAGATTTTTGAAATTTACTATTTCCGTGTGTGGTTGGCGCTGGTTGTCTTTGCAGCCCTGCATGCTCTGGTGTTCTTACCGGTTGCGCTCAGCGTGGCCGGCGGAAACGGCTACGTCGACCCTGAAAGTGAAGGCACTGCAGCTCAGGATTTGACTGACAGGAGATGGCGTGCTATCCGGGTTCACGATAATAGTGATTCCGAAGACGAGGATTATTAAGTGTGTTGGCATCATAGCTTGTGGCAGCCTATTTGTAAGACTCTAGCATACATTGTGCTGCTGCTGAAGGATGGCGTATTGGAAACGGGTGCTGGAGCAGGAGTTTCTTTTCGATTGGATCTGGTATACGAAGCATTTGAATACATACGAATAAGAATAATTTCTCTTCTTTGCAAGATTCGTTTTTATGCATACACGGTCCAAAACCTACCCTGGGTCTACCGTCTCTCAGATTTTGCTTTATGCATCTCTCTGTCTCTCCCTTTTTTCCCAAGAGCATTCTTCTCTCATGACTGTCCCCCTTCATTATATCCCGTCAGTTCAAGGACAGGTAGAGTAGCCTTATACATCGGCCGGCTCGGAACCGAGAGGCGTGTTTGTAACGCTCCCAAAAGGGGTGTCAAATTTCAAATTTCTCTGATGAGCATACGCAGCTCAAGGATAGTCCAGCAGCAGATCCTCTTCTCCATTGTGCACCGGCTGGGGATCCAAGCTCAGGAACACTGGCGAGGGCGCTTGGGGCCTCCACCTCGATGCTCTCAGCCCAACATCACGCGGCTGACTCCCAGAAGAAGCCGGGCCAGCAGCCGTGGCATACCGCCTCCTGGCCTCGGCCTTGCTCTTTTGTCTGCTGGCATGCGCACCTGCCGGGGTACCGGGAGCGTGCGACCCCTGCGTGGCCTTGACACGGTCCATGACGCCCATCATGAAACGCCCGCAGTCCTCGGAGTATTCCTGGCCATCTCGTCCTACAAACACGGGGTTGTACTCATTGTACGGGTTCTTGAGATCGCCGACTTGTGAAAAGGGCGTTTCTGCCTCGTTGATCCAGTCGATTCGGAACGGGGCCGTGGTGTGCATATCGTGCGTTGTGCTCACGATCCACGGAGGGTGTGGGATGCTATGGTCAGGGGCGGACGTCATTTTTGCCTACGACTTGCAGGTCAAATTCCCTGGCGCTTGGACAATCTCTCTCTCTCTCTCTCTCTCTCTCCGTTTTCCGATGTTGAGCTTGACAAGGGTGGACTCACGTATCCCTGGAATGCCTTGGACTTGTTAATCGAGAAGAAGAGCACAACGGACCTGCATTCTCGGAAAGCCTGTGTAAAGAGGGGACCGTTTTTGGCTTGTGTTATCCATAGGCCCTGGTGTAGTTAGCATTGCCTACCGTAGCCGTATTATTTCTGCGGTTGGACGATGGCGACTTACATCCCTCCGGGACATGTAAACGTTGGTAGTATTGGAGGATTTGACCAAAAAGTAGCGGGTGTCAGCTAGTTTAGAGTTTAGTACAGGGGGAAAAAAGAAAAAAGGATGACTGCATCTATATTGAGAAACTTACTCTTTCCCGGTCCGAGTCTGCCGGATAGCTGCTCCGTTTCTCCCATCATAGGCACCATTGCATCTGGGCGGCTCCTCGCGTAGGCAGCTGGCTCACGTGGTGGACTCACGATTCCGCACGCCGCGTCTTCTCCAGAGTGTAGCTCTTTCCGCGTGAGGGTTGAGTTGGCGGACAGAGAAGGTTCAGACGCGGGCTGCCCCGATGGCTTGCTGCTCTGGATCATTTCGAGGACTTTGGCCTTTTCTGCCTCGAGGCGTTGCAGTTCTCTCACACCGCCGAGCACTCGCTTCCGGTGGGCGAGGTCGAAGAAAGACGTGTGGTCGAGCCACAGCCTCAGCTCCTCGTCGACCTTGACAAGTTCTTGTAGTGCCGTGTGCGGGTTTGTAGATGCTGTAGCTGTGAGGACGACTGGGTGGTGAACCGTTGCTGGAAGCTCTTGGGGTGCGGCGTCAGACTGTGTGCCGAGGCTGTTGTTGAGCGTGAGATTGGAAGGGTCTGGAACAAGCTCGTCGACGTCGTTTTGTTCTGTCATGTCGGTGACTGACGTTGTAAGCTGCGTCTGTAGGGAACCCGAGGACTTGCAAGAGCGTGAGGTATCAAGACTGGACAGGAAGTTCGAGGTAATCGGTAATTACAAGTGGCTAAGTAAGGTGAAGATTCGAGAAGCTTCTGCTCTATCTTATATAGGTACGACGTGCGCTTTTTGGATGTCGTCTTTGTCGGCTCTTGAATCCCTGTCGAGAGATAAAAAATGATTCAGAGGAAGCACAAGTGAAGCAAGGCTCACACCAGGAGTAAAAATGGATAGAATTCACGCGTTTCCGTTGCTTCCTTCAGTTGTATTTTCATACACTAATCACCCGACAAGCCTGTGAGAACCAGAGGTGCCTGTGAATTGAAATGATGGTGTTTCACGGAATGGCAACGTGTGTGGATGAAGCGTTATTGTATTGTGGCGCCTTGGTCGGCTTTTGGTCTCAACCGTGTCACGATATGTGCGAGGCAGCCGAGTTATTATGCATATGCTGTCGGGCTCAGAGTGAATGAAAGCACAAAGAGCTTACATAGTGAGAGATATGCCATGTTAGCGCCCCAATGTCGGGAACGGACGATGGAAAGACGAATGAAAGATTAATGTTCTAGGATGAAGATCTGCTTCAATATGTAATAATCGGAAACCCACCGTTCGACAAGCTATTCTTCTTACCGTCCACTTGTTTTTGAATCACTTGTGGATGCGCAACGGCCCAGAATCTATTGCGGTTTTCGTGCGTCCAATCTTGAAATGGGCCGTGGGTGTATGATGAACATGGCTATGCGTGGAGACCAAGCAAATTACGTTTGCGATGAAGTGAACTAGCTGTCTGGTATTCAAGTAAGTGCCTTACGCCGGTGGTAAAAAGGAGGCAAACAGCCCGCCCTGAATGCCGCCATACATGACCATGAACATGACAATGGCTACCCCATATCCTTGCCTCCTATTATCCATCAAACAGCTACCCACCCACCAGTACCAAGCAGGATAACCTGACGAGATGCGTGTGATGATTTGAACATGATACGTGGTGATGGCCAAGATTGCAATGACGGCCTGACTTCCCGCCAAAGCACGCACAAAAGTATTCAAGTCTGATTCAGCAGCGCCATTTTTCGAAGCACTCGTGATTTTCTGGGGCTCCCTAATAAGATCAAGACCGGATTTGATCAGGATTGCCAGCATGGGGCTTGCTAGCAAGAACAACGGAAGCTGGTTCAGCGTCCAGTATCTCAAGAATCCCACGTTCCTACAAAGTACGACGTCAAGTCAGCACAGGGGAGACTCCCCCATCAGCAACAAATTATACATACCAATAATGATCTTGCACAAACGTATAAATACTGGGAATCATCTTCTCGCACCAAGGACGCCCAACTTCATCCGAACCACAGTATCTCATCCACGCCAAAGTCTGTGGCACCACCGACCCGGCTGCGACACAGAGCCCTCCCAGGACCGGGGCAATCATTGACAACAAAGTACGCAAGCCCGGGGCTTGGGCAAACTGCAGCAACGCATCAACTGCTTGGACGGCAAACAAGAGCCCGCTCGCGAGCCCGTTGCTGCGGAAAGCGGTAGCAGCGCTGAACAAGATCCCCGATGCAAGCATTGTCACGTTTCGTTTGACTCTGCTTGCCTTGCTTTTGAGACTGACGGCGAAGAGCAGGTTCCCCATGAATGAGAGGCCGGCAAACGGGCTCTCGTTATACGGCGCGGAAAGGAACAAGCCAGCCGGTGAGAGGATGTGCAACGCGGAAGAGACGAATGCGAGTCTAGCATTCCCAGAAAGAAGCATGGTGAGACGGTGCAATGCCAGCATGGCAATAAAGTGTGATGCGTGGGCGAGAGCAATGGCAACCAGTGGCTCAAGGGCATAGTTTGCCGGCGTGAGGGATGACAAGGACCTTGAAATGGCCCCGACAGTGGTTGGGAGGCCCAAACCAAAGGCCCATTCCTGCTCGTAGGTATAGCCCCGAATGGCGGAGTGCATGAAATACAACGCGTCCCATCGTGTTAATCTGGCGGCGATGGTTGGGATGGTGATGTTGTGTCCGTACATACGGTCGAAGAACAGAGAGGTGGACGTGTCGTAGTCAGGGGCGATAGCGGCACCGAGAGAGACGGCCAAGAGGAAGCCTTTCCATGCTATGAAGAGGGCTGTCAATGAGCGAATCGGTTGAGACGATGAGAATAGCTCCATCATCACGTTGGACGTGGGTGATGTAGGATGATGAAGCGATTGTATGCATTCAGTCATTAGTAGTAGTAACTGTCTTGTGTCGCTTGGGCGTATGTGGAGCCCCAGTGAAGTTATCTTAGGCAACAAGGTCCATTGTCTTAATCAAGTACGCGATCCGTTGAACTGTGATGTTGTCAACTTGGCGAAGCAGTGTGATGGATGGCCTCCTGAAAGCTGATGTGCCGTTTGGTATTCTGAGCATGCATCATACAGGAATGCGGCTTGTTGTGGTTTGTTCCACGCACCAGCCACAAACACCAAAGCTCCATCCATTTCGACATCAGAGTGGCTTGCTCCCTTGATCGCTCACCCAGCATTCTGCAGCACGACCTGCCCCAAGAAAGCTGTCGATGATGCATTGGGTTCATTAAAATCATGGAGAGAAACAAGACTAAACCACACATGCTCATTCTGGATCTGGACTATTGGACATGACGGGCGAATTCCCTCCCGCAATCAACATCCCGCCTCTTAGAAATCCTCACGGCATCACCGTCATTTTTCTTCACGGTCGAGGCTTCAACGCCCAGAAGTTTCATGGCTCACTACTCCAGACCGACATCTGCAATCATACATTCCAGGAGGCACTGCCTCACGCACGATTTGTGTTCCCAACGGCCCCGCTTTCCAGAGCGTCAAAATACCGTCGTATCTTGATGCATCAATGGTACGATGGCACTGGTGATTGGGAGCCAGAGGCTCGGGGCGGCATGCAGCCTAGCATAGAGCACATTCACGGCCTCATTCGGAGTGAAATTGAAGTAGCCGGCAACGATTCAAAGCGCATCGTCCTTGCCGGTTTCAGTCAAGGGGCTGCCATGGCCTTTGTGAGCAGCTTACTATGGGATGGTGACCCTTTGGGTGCTGTGGTTGGCTTGTGCGGCTTTATGCCACTTGCTTCCCATCTCCTGAGTATTCTGGATGATGATGGCTTTGCACCTGGTGCAGATGATGTGTTTGAAGCAAGTCAGTGTGCCGATGCTCGAACGCCGCATCAAAAAGTCTTGGATGAACTTCGTGAAGAGGCCGAGCTTCCTGGGACTCAACAAATATCGGACTTTCAGTTTCTGTCAACTCCGGTTTTCGTCGGCCATGGAAGCGCAGACCGGGAGGTTGTTGTTCAACACGCGTCACAAGCGGGACTGCTATTGCAGAAACTGGGTTTGGACGTGGACTTTCACATCTACGAAGGGCTAGGACACTGGTATTCTGCATCAATGTTAAGAGACCTGGTCCAATTTCTTGCTACGCAACTGAAGGTGCAACCGCCCTTGGGCTAAGGAGTGTTCAAATTATCTCATCAGAGTAAAAAGAAAGAAGAAGAAGGAGGAGGAGGAGGAGGAGGAGGTTCTTGATATCTTTGCACTTTCAATCCATACACATTCAAATCTTCTCACCCTCCAAAATCGGTTTTGCTTCTTCGCTCGTCCACCAACTAATCCCCTTCTCCCCGGGATACGTGAACTTATCCATACTATCCGTCTTCATCTCTACACTATATCCAGGTTCCATGGGTGTCTGGTAGTACCCGCCCTTGATGACGGACGGATGCAAGAAGTGCTCGTGTAAATGGTCAACATACTCCAACACAGAAAGCTCACCGCTCACAGCTACATAATCAATTGTGCTCAGGTGCTGCGTGTACTCTGGAAGACCAACTCCGCCGGAATGAGGAACGATCGGCACACCGTACTTCTTCGCCATGAGCAACACAGCCATGACCTCGTTAACACCACCAAGGCGGCAGGCATCGATTTGACAGACGTCAATGGCCCCATTCATGAGCATCTGCTTGAAGACGACTCGGTTTTGGACCATTTCGCCAGTGGCGACGCCAATGCCGTATGGTTTGAGAGCCTCGCGAACAGCCTTGTGGCCCAGGATGTCGTCGGGGGACGTGGGCTCTTCGATGAACCATGGCTTAAAGTCGGCGAGCTGCTTCATGTGCTTGATGGCATCGGGGACAGACCAGATCTGGTTCGCATCGACCATGAGGATATTGCCCTTGTCGTAGCCGAGAACGTCCCGGGCAATGGTTAACCGGCGCCTGTCCTCCTCCACGCTACCGCCAACTTTCAGCTTGAAGTGCTTGTAACCTTGTGCAAGTGTCTCCCTGAGGAGCGTCTTCATCTTGTCTTCGCCGTAGCCTAGCCATCCTGCGCTGGTGGTGTACGCTGGCACGGCCTTGCTGTTGAGCGCTTCCTCGATGCGCTTCGCCTTTCCTCCTTGCACTTCCTCGAGCATGGCAACGGCTTCTTCTGGGGTGATGGCGTCGGTAATGTAGCGGAAGTCGATACACTCGACGTATTGCTCGGGCGTCATGTCGGCAACAATTCTCCAGACAGGCTTGCCCAGGACTTTGCCCCAAAGGTCCCAGACCGCATTAACGACAGCGCCGAGGGCGAGGTGAATAACACCCTTCTCGGGTCCAATCCAACGCAGTTGGCTGTCTGATACTAGATAGCGCCAAGTCTTTCCCCAGTTGGCCACCAGAGACGACAATGTCTTGCCCTTGAGACGCTCGGCAACGTGGACTATGGCAGCGCAAACAATGTCGTTTCCGCGTCCAATGGTGAAGGTCTGCTCGGAGAGGAGAGGGATCTGGTGTCAGCGTGTTTCCCGTAAGAAAAAAGAAAAATTATGCAGCCCTTGCTCAGAAAACTCACCATGCCGTGGCCAGAGTATTGTGAGTCTGTCTGCAAGATGCAGTACGCAGAAGAGTAATCACCAGCGGCATTCATAGCATCGGAGCCCGTCTTATCCAGCGACGTGGGAAACCGCACATCGCGGGTTTCAAATCCGGTGATTGTGATTTCTTGCGTCATTGCAGCAACTTGCACGTGTATACCGGTCCGTTGTGTCGCCGGCGGTCGAGAGTAAAGTCCAAGCACGAGCGTCGAGATGTTTATGGTCGAATTTCCAACACGCATCCGAGCTGCTCCGAGCCACAGCCAACAATTCAGTAATTAAGGAGTTGTAGAACCCCGTGAAACCTACAACCTGGCAAAGGTGAAGCTATGGACAGGCTGGGTTTATATGCGACGGAAAAATGATGCCCTCATGCCACCCTGCTGCCCCTCGGGGGTACCCACGGCTCTAACATTGAAAATGCGGGGGATTCGGGAAACGCGGTGGGGCCCGACACCGGCGACGGGTTACAAGTCGTCTCCCGACCGTGATTGATGGAGAAGATGAAATTTGGCATGGGGGTATTGCCCTGCCCTCATTCTGCCGATTGCCTTTTGTTGAGGTGCAAATAAATGGGTAATGGTCCAGTTGGCGTTTTCTTGCCTGGTATGGCGTTGACTGACGGATGGTCACCGGAGAACTTCGGCTGACGGTATAATGGCCGCCGAGGGCGATGCGGCAATGGACAAGGCTCAGCCAAGAGCCAGATTTCACCAATTGTGTTATATTTCTCACAATCCACAACACTGATTACGGGAATCTCCATTTTGAGCATGTCGACTTTGGATTGATAATCGCAGGTGTTGTTCTGTTATTTGGGATTCCCGTCACACGAGCCCCGCTGCCGATTTTGCCGTCGGGTCTTTGTCTGTCTTCCCGGCTAATAGTAGTTACATATTTGCAACATCTCGTACAGTCTGGCTTAACACTTGCAATGTTATGCTTCAACATGGAAAAGGTCAACATCTGATCAAAGTATACATTCAGGCTATGGTGTACCTGAGTCACCCACTATAAATAGTCACCAAAATTACTGTAAAAAAGCAGAGACTTTGTATACCAGTATGGCCTTTGATTCTTACAAGGAGAGCTCCAGGTGCATGATCTTCTTGACGCCAAGGGTCCGGCAGAGTTCTTGTTCGACTTCTGCTGGAGATGTCCCGCGGTTTCTGTTGTCGTTGAGGATGGAGCTTCTCGTGGCGAGGAGCGTGCCTTGCCGTCGACCTCGAGAGAGCCTCCTTCGGTGATGATGGAAAAAGTCACGCGGCACACCTTTATATGGCTGGAGATGATGGATGCAACCGACGTTGAAGTCCACGCCTGCAAGACTTGCCCCATCCTCACGGTCAAGCACCAAAGTCGGAGCCATATCGCGCATCCACAGGTCAAGGTTCTTATAGCCTTTAATCGGAACGACATGTCCCTTGTTATCAGACCGCTTAATCTTCTCCTCGGCCTCGCTTACCTGGCTTAGCTCAACAAAAAAGATGACGGGTTCGAAGAGAGCAACCGCGTCCACGGTAGCAGATATGTCCTTCTTGGCAGTCTTCAACAACTATCAATCATCTACATATTCTTTGGTAATGGCCAGGCCATAATCACGCCTGCGTGGCGAGCCCATTCTGCAAGGCGATGGGGTGTGGTAGTAACAGCTTGCGTCATGGCGAGAGAAAAAGCACGCATTCTGACCGGGGTCGGCGTGCTTTGAGCGTGGCAGTGCCGTCAGTTTGGTCGCTAGCGTGCGTTTGTGTGGTCTTGCGCAACTAAGTTTTGGCCGGATTTTCTCATATTTCAAGAGTACTGCTCCTAAAGGCGGACGGAAATCAGCAAAGAGGCCTCGAGCACAAAGAAACGCCATGAATCGCGTAACGTGAGCCTGATCAAAGTAAGGCGAACACTCCTTCACAAGCTGGGAAATCTTCACTTGCCCCCGCGGGATTATTGATATGTATAACTATATATCAAAAACTTGATGGCCCATCAAAAAGACTCATACCTGGGACTCGTTGTGAGTTATAAAGCGTGACATGTAGTTTCTAGTAAAATATAGTGGGACTTCGTAAGAAAGCGTCTGGCCTCGATGTTTGGTAGTCGGCTAGTATGGGCACGGGGGCTCCGTCCCTCAAAGACTACTAGGTAGGATGCTTAGAGATCTCTTGATAATAATTATAATAATAACCCAATAATAGCACTAGGTCTGAGCTTCGTGACGTGTATTCAACATGGGCCAGAAACGGCTTCGGTAGCTTTGGCATGCATGCATCGCGGCCGACATTAGCGCATTATCATGGAAACTACGCCACATCACTCTGCCACGATGAGTGATGAGTCCGGATGATGAACCTGAGCGCATATCGAAATTGGATATCCGGCCCCGCGGGGAGGAGAAATCATGGTGTGTTGTTGAATTACAGAAACTTGGCCGAAGCCGAAGCCATGCCCAGCCACAACATTTGATGGCTGCCATGTGATCCGGAGCCCGGGATACTGTATATCCGAACACAAGCACCTTTCGTGGCTCCCAGCCAAGAACACAACCAAGCCACTGTGCCTCAACTGGTGCTCACTGCTCAGCGGGCTGTCCGCCATGATACTCCGGGACTGTTTGCCTCCCAAACAGCAAAATTTTCAACGCCAGAGTCAACCTTGAGGCACTTGTTGAACTTACCATAGTTATTATAAGCAGAGCTGTAACAAGAAAACTACATTTTTAATTTTTAAAAAAGCTTAAATATTTAATAATAAATCTAATAAAATAATTGAATTATAATAATAAATACATAAATTAGCTAATATTATAACTAATTAGCTTATATAAAAAGTAGGTTCTTTTAGCTAATTATAAGCTTAAAAACTAAATTATATAATTTTCTAAAAACTTATTATACTATAGTCTATACTATACTATAAAAACTATATTTTATAGTTTCTTAAGTTTTAAGCTTATAAGAGTATATAAGGACTAACTTTTTTATTATTAGCTTATAATTTTAGATTTATATTAGTGATTCGTAAAACTTATAATTCTATAAGTATTTTATTAGATTTAATATAATTTTTTATATTCGAAACTACAAAAACTACAAAACTACACTACAGTTAATGCTCTGGTTAATGCTCTGGCCCAGCCAAGCGCGCCCGCGCACTAATTGCCCTGATTAGTTGGAATTTAGCAGGCTATATTAGTTACTGTTTCTTAACGTAACCGCAAGGTACACTCACTCCTTATTAGGTAAGATTCGAATAAGGCGATTAAGTAAGCTAGCTAATTTATAAGAGCTTTAAACTAAGTTTCGAGTAACGTGCTTCTATTAACCTATTACCCTTTCTAAGAACTTAAAAATAGTCTCTGTAATTACATTTAAAAGCTCCCCCTCGCGATCGCAGTGGTAAGGTGATTTTATTATCCCCCGTATAACCCTACTACTCCCACCTAAATTAAGCTTAAGCTCCTCTAGGACTCCTGCCCGGCCCCTAACTCTGATGCCAACCCCAAAAACAAGTAGTGCAACACACGGGAGGCTAGTTTGGCAGGGTACATGTACAGAAGAAGGTGGAATCAGCTCAGTCATTCGCTTCATTTTGCATTGAGGGTTCGTCTCGGGAGCCTCAGATTGGTATTTAGCTCTATCCGAGCAATGACGACCCGTTCTATCTTTAATTTCAAACATTGTGAAGCAAGAGCCGTGAATATCAGTGCGAGCGATGCGTTGGCTCTACTTCTAGCTCAGAAACAATTGCCGGTAATCTGAATTTATCAATTCTTTATATAGGATATTGAAACTCGTCTGCTGAAGTGCCTGTCAGCCAGGCTCGGATTTCTCTAAGCGCATTAAGATCATTGCTCTCTCGTGCAAGCTTTTCATCCTTATCGTACCAACCGTATGTCCTCTTGAGATTTTCTACACTCTCGTCAACTTTTACACAGCTGTCAAAATCAATAATAACAGGCACACCCTCCCCTGAGATCATGATGTTCATGGGATTAATGTCATTATGCACGTATCCCAGCGAATGTAGATGTCTTATCCCAGCCTCAATGCCAAGAATATATTTCTCTGCAACCTCGAGAGAGCAATGACGACTCTCCAGAAGCTCCTTCTTATTTAGGCTCCCTGGGTTAAGCATCGACATTAGGTTCTGAGGGTGAAGCTCAAAGCAAATGCCATCAAGACGATCTCCCAGAGCCTTGCAACCCAGATAGGTTGCGACGTTTGGGTGTGGATTATTAAGAAGCACTTCACAGACCTCAATCTCTCGAAGCAAAGGAACGCTTATGCTAGAGGGAGATGTGTAGTTGCTTAGATTTGGTCTTTTAATGTAGATAGGTCTCTCCGTGTAGTGCAGAAGTGTGGTGTGCGGTGGCAGAGTTGGCTGATAACAGTCGGGGGATATAGTTACAACGTTGTAAAGATCGCTTTGATCGATCGCAGAACATCTTCTTTGGTGGCGATGACCTAGGAAAAATTGGTTACCCTGCTGAAAAAGAACTTGCACGTGGCTGAACTCGACCCCCCCTTGCACTGTTGGAGTAAAAACCTGACGCTCGCTGATGACTTTCTCCATTGTGGTGGCGCTAGAGATATATTTCTTTTCAAAACGTTTGTGTACGCCTTTGGGAGTATGTGGGGAAGTCTAGATTGAAGGAGGAGAGTCGGAGTGAAAAGCGGTTTCTGTTTACGCACGGCCAACTCGACCCAAGCCGTTGGTCACGTGGCGATGCTTCTCGCCCCGTGAGTACCACTGTAGCACCAATTAGCTTTCTCCCGTGGCTTTGCAAGGGCTCACTTCTGTTAGCCCGATAATTGAGTGCACTTCTTTCTCGGGTCTCTTCTAATTCTGTTAGGGACTAATTACGAGGGGTAAGGCACGAGCTACCTAGAACCTAATAAGAGTAACGTATACTAATATAAGTAAGCTTTAATTATACCTTAATTATAAGGGTATAATAAGATATCTAAAGAGAACTTAATAATCTGAAATAAAAGAAGATTTAAAGATTAATATTATCACTTATATTATTCTACTTAATAATTAATATACTTAGATAAAAGGGTTATTTTAATTAATAAAAAAATACGTCTTTTATCCCTTTCTTATTTAATTATACTTAATTTAAATACTAGAATAATTCTAGCTCTCGTATAAGAGTTATATTTAATTTTAGGCGTTATTAGGTTTATTTTTATTAAGTTATGTAAAAAATAAAAAGAAGGTGCAGATATAAGGTGACGCGACGAGGCGCGTTAGGCGCGTTTACTATCGTCACTTTCGTCGCCCCACTGTACGTAATCCGTACCCGTTATGAGTGACCAATTTTAACAGTCCGCGACCCCTAAGGGCGCCAACGCAGCATGCGCCCGCGCACATAACCTTCGAATAATATTAACACGCTTACGATTCCAAATATCTTTAGACGCGGCCAGTGCCCATCAACAGAAACGTGTTGGCTTGGTAGCTTTAATTGCGGGCTATGATGGCTATTTCAAGAATTCGGAATCCTCTACTCCGTCCAAACAGCTCTATCCTGCCGGGATGCTGCGCACATCGGCGCTCGTAATTCTGCCAAAGCTCGGGGGTGTCGGTTGGACGGAAAACAGATTGGGCATCGACAGGGATATTCAAAGAAGCTCGTTGGCCCCCAGGTTAGAAGCAACTAAATTTAACGACGAGAGTGTATGGGCTTGAAAGAAAATCAACAATCTCGAAATTGGTTGACGCGAAAGCCTCTTCGTGTTTGCATGGCTTGACATACAGGAATCATGCGCGCTATCAACGGAACGAGATCAACCGATGGCTGTTTTCTTGTCCATTTTAAGAAACGCCACCATGATCCGCAGAGCAGCCAAGTTGAGCGCCAGCAGCTTACACGTTGAGGCAGTGCATTTCGCCAAGCCCCGGATTACGTTGGCCACGTCTTTGTTCGTGCAAGATACAGTGCTCCTATTGCTCCAAGCTGGATTTGGATCCGAGGCGTATATCCCAGTGGCTCCAGTAAACGCCATTTTGCCTGATGATGTGCCTGGATGTGGCCGATCTCATGAAGAGTCCTATCCCCCTGGGTACAAAGTAGATATAGGTGAACTCGGAACCGCCGAATCCTGTTCCTGGAAGCATTTTGACTTGTTGTTTTATATGTTCCTAGCCGTCTGCAACATATCGATTACAGTGTTGAGAACTGCCAAGTTTTCATTCATGAGACGAAGCTCGTGCAGCTTCTTTTCTCTCCCTCCCCTCTCTCTGCCTCTGTTTTGCTTCGTATTGGTGATCGACTCAGGTGGCAGCAAATGTCTTTCCAGCATCCTGTTAGTCGGATAATCAGCAACGACTCCTTTTCACACACTTCAGCAAGTAGTCAGCACTCTCGCTGGTCGCTCATCATGATGGCGAATAGTCTTAAACCTACACGACAGAAGCTACACAAGTATTTCAGAAAGTCGAGGCATTCTGTCCCCGAGAGCGAGTTCACAGACTGGAATGCAAAGGACTCAAGCTCGGTTACCAAGATGGCCAGCATGCAGATGGGAACCTTGGCCAATCCTGAAGTACCCATCTCGCCCGTCGTTGTCCAAGACTCGCGGTATAAGCCATCACTGGTGCCCCCAATAGTCGACATCAAACCAAGATGCGAGCCCAAACACGAACAAAAGTTCGAACTTCACTATGAGCCCGAACCATTTGTATTCGATTCCTTTCTCGCACCTCCTCAACAGGCGCCGCCGCCTCCACCATCGATACGTCAACCAGATCGACTTCCTCCGTCTCCTCCCCTTCCCGAGTTTCCACAACCGCCAGAACTACCATCTTTTTTGGAGCCGCCGCAGCCTCGTTTACGACGAGCGCCTTCGGTCAGAAGACCTAGGCCTGCCTCAGGTATTCGAAGAGCCAAGACCCCGGTTCACAGAATTGGGCAACTAGAAATGGCAGCCGCAAAGAAGAGGCAAGAAGCCATTATCAACAGACAGTCAAGTGTTCGCACTGTCGCACGACAATACCGTGCATTGATCGACGAGACAAAAGTTCCGGACGTTCCCTCCATCTCAGCCATCCACCGCAAGCCCTTGCCTAGCTCTGGGGCGCCGCAGCTACAGCGATTCGAAAACAGCGACGGGCCTATTCCACGTCTGTCAATAATTGAACCTCGATCCGGAGGCTTTCTAGAGGAGCCAAGACCTCGATCCGAAATAGCCCCATGGCCCGAATCAGACGCCGATACACTGGTGTCATCCCCGAACATCTCGCCATATGTAAAGCCACTGGAGTTTTCGTCCCCTTCGACGCCACCCGCCGAGGGCGACCATTACGAGGACGACGACTATATTAAATCGCCAGATACAGAGACGTTGCAGTTCCAGATTGGTTTCGAGATGTTGACTCGGGAGCTATCCACTGCCTTTGCGGACCATTCATCTCGCGCGGGGAGAGACGCGTCTGGTCTCCAGATTTGGGTCATGATTGAGGCATATGAGAAACTAAGAGACCAAGTTTCTTCAATGGAGACGCAGGATCCTGAACTTCAGAGTGCACGGGCAATGTTTGATTCTTGGTTGGCTGCCTTGAGAGCGATTCAGAAGACGATTGCGAATGAGGGGGCGGAGGGTGACAGTGAGTATGGTGATGATGATGATGATGAGTAGTAGATGTAGTCATTAAAGATAGAAATGGATCATTGATTTGTTATGAATTTAAATTGAAAAAGGCTAGTTCTGAACCAAGCAGTGAAGCAATCTGTGAAGCTAGAATTTTTGAAGACTGAAGATCAATCCAACTGATACACACCATCAGATGTTGGATTGTGTGAGCCAAATCTTAAAAATTAATAGAATCTACATGCGGTGTAACTAACTTCAAAATGTTGTTTCTTGATAAAGCTGTTGACGACCTGCGGGGCCGAACGTTCAGGGTAGCTCCAGTTGGGCCGGGGAAGCTTGCACATACCTAGGTAGGTCGTGACGTCCCCGATGAAGCTCCCAACGTGAACTTTCACCAGCACGCCTGTCCAGCACAACACCACCGCATGGCCCGCGTCTTGTCTTTCAACTGCGCCCTCTGATCAAAGACATCAAAGACACCACTGAGGCAATGGACGACGACTACGGCGCCGACGAGGCCCTTCTCGCAGCCATGGCTGCCGCTGATCCAGCTCAGTCCGCTCGCAGGACCGTTCAGCAGCCCGTACCCCAAAGAATCCAACAGCCCAAACCGCAACAAATGGACAAGGCACCGCCGAGCAAGGCATCCGGGAGTAGCGTCGTGCAGCCTACACCACAGGCTCTCCCGCAGAAACAAACTGGCGGATCGACTATCCTGGTATCTCCTCGCCAGCGAGGGAATCCTGTGCTAACGTCTATACGTTCTTTGCCATGGGAATATAGCGATATTCCAGCCGATTTTGTCATGGGACTCACAACCTGCGCACTATTTTTGAGGTATGATTCTCTTCTCTTCCCTTCTTTTTTTTGGTTAGAAACAATTGGGCTGCATGGTTGGTTTCTGTCTGACCCTGCCCGCGTTTGTACAGTCTCAAGTACCACCGACTTCATCCCGAATACATCTACACCCGCATACGAAACCTACAAGGCAAATACAATCTGCGCATTCTTCTCACCATGGTGGATATACCCAACCACGAAGATTGCCTACGGGAGCTCTCGAAAACCTCACTCGTGAACAATGTCACCATCATCTTGTGTTGGTCGGCCGCCGAGGCTGGCCGGTACCTCGAGTTGTACAAGTCATACGAAAACGCAAGTTTCGCAGCCATCCGTGGCCAACAAGCTTCCAGTTACGCCGACAAGCTGGTCGACTTTGTGACGGTGCCCCGAAGCCTCAACAAGTCTGACGCCGTCGCGCTAGTTGCCAACTTTGGCAGTCTGAAAAATGCCATCAACGCGGAGCAGGAACAGCTTGGCATGATCGGTGGATGGGGAGGCATCAAAGTCAAGAGGTGGTCTTCTGCCATCGAGGAGCCCTTCCGGGCAAAGAAGGCGACCAGGCGGGGTCTGCAGCCGTCGAAAACCGGAGCCCAGCAGGCAAACACAAGTGCGGACGGTCAGCACGCAGATCGGACCTCGCGGTTGGAGGAAGCCGTGCCGCTTTCGAGAGTGCCTCTCAGAGATATGCCTGCCATGGGCACCGGCTCTGGTGCCCCCTCCGCACAGGGAACGCCAGTTCGAGGCTCATCGACCGGATCTGCTCCAAAGCAGTTCCGGTTCCTGGATGACGATGTTGAGAACGACGATGAGGACGAGGACAACGATGCGGAAGAGGCTTTTATGGCTGCTGCTGGTGAAGATTCGAGAAAGAATTCACAGCCAACCGGGGGAAATTCCAACTCGGGCCGGATAGCCGGTGCTGAGAAGATGGACGATGAGTTGAGTGGTGGTGTTGCAGCAGCTCTCGCCAAACTGCGCGAAAATGAATGACCTCACATCATTGACGAAACGATCAAACCGCACAAGTACAATGGCGAACGGTGTCAACAGGGGTCACGCATAATATTGAAGGCTTGCATGCCAACACCCGGTATGGCGGCCCAAAAAGGCGAATGCGCCGCAAAACTGCCGAACATGCGGTCGTAACAAGAATGAACCAGAACTGATGTTTCCGAGATGTAGTGCCATGCTACGATGAATATGTCACTCTAAAACTCTGGGTTGTCTCTCGATCAGCTTGTCCTGACCTGCACGTACGATGGTTGGCTCGGCTGCAAGTTCAACTATGTGCATACATAAGTACATACAATAGTATGCATGTGTATTGTTATGGAGCAAGCCTCGTCGCAACAACCCCGCGCCGTCCCCGCAGAGTAGATAGACGATGGAACAAGGGGCAGGCACTTCATCTCAGTCGACCATTTCTGCCGATACATGGACGATGTCTGTTGCTTCTTGTCGTATTTTAAAGATTGGTTAACCTGGAGTTTCGCCGTCGACTTGTCTCGGGTACGAAGTAGTATTGGCAGTAATCCGTCATTGAACAATGGTCCCTTAGACGTCCGCATTTCCGTTAGAAGCGATCGTGGGCGACTGTTGGCTGTCTAGCCGGTAGTTGACGCAGGCCAGGTTGATGATGATGTGGAGATGAGCTCATTGGGCGGTGCATTTCCCAGATGCGGGACGTGACATTGCAAGGTAACATTCCTGGAGGACATGCCTGCACGGGGACGAAATCTCCGCGAAGCATTTTTGAGACAGGTCTCGGGTTCGTGCGTCCAGTTCGCGATTTTCCTCCGCACACAGTTTGCCCACCTGCCTGTAGATGCGTTCAGCTGTTGGAAATTTTCCCCTGAACAAAAAACAGGCAAGTCAAACTCCTGTGAGCGAGATTGTCACCTCGTCTGGGGCATCATCCTGATCTTGGTCAGGGTTACATTAACCCCCCCCAAACCTTGCCATCCATTGGGCAGGCTTTGGCACCATGCTTGAACGAGCCGCCGGCGGCCCTTGAATGATGCCGTCAGATGATGCAGGAATTCGAGAACCTTGCAAGCTCATCTCTTCCCCCACACCAGATGATAGGCAACTCAACGTATCGCCGACTCTATCATGCAGGTGTCAAATGGTGTTTGTGAATCCAGGGTAACATCGGGCACAAGACCGTGACTCAGTCACTGCTTGGTCTGTTGGAACCTCGGGCCTTGCATGGCAACATGATTGATGCATGGATGAGCAATAAACAGACCCGGACCAAGGCACGATGGCACGGTGGCACAATAGCCACTGGGCGCATACTGTCACCTGCCTGGAACATAGCTCGTCTTTGTACCGGCCACCCTCGTGTACTGTATTGACTAGGAGCTATTATTTTTATTTGCTCTGCGGACTACGTTAGTCTTTCCTGGAGCTGGAATCGTCCGGGATTGGCACGAAATGCAAATATCCGTTGCCATGAGAGGGGGAGGGCACGCGTGTTGCTCGGCCCTCGTCATGCCGCCATGTCTTAGATGTTGGATATTAACAGAGAGCACATGTTTCTGCCGCACCCCCTGGAGACGAGATTGTTGACCTTCGTATAAATAGTGTCTCGTCGCCATATTTCATGTGCTCTTGGTGTTGAACCAGGTTCTGTCGCTCCGATTGGGCTTTATAAACATGCGGTTGTCCAACAAGTCAATCCTCCTCCTGGAGCTAGCTGGCGCGGCTCTCGCCATGCCATCCAGACGTGCTGTCACGGCTCCTGTGGCCGATCATGCCAGAGCCCACGATGTCAAGGAAGCCTTTGAAATTTCGTGGAATGGCTACTATAAGCACGCCTTCCCTCACGACACTCTCCACCCCGTGACCAACAGCTACGTGGATGATCGGTAGGTTTCTCTCGTCCTGGAGTGTGCCATTAGCCGGGCTGTTCACCTCTCTAACTCGGATTCTAAAGGGCCGGATGGGGAGTGACTGTTGTCGATGCGCTTGACACGGCTATTGTCATGAACAGCTTGGAGATTGTACAGCCAATGTTGGATCACATTGCCAAGATTGACTTTACAACGACGGCCAAGGCCAACGAGGCCATTTCGCTCTTTGAGACCAACATCCGATATCTTGGCGGCCTTCTTTCAGGTGAGCTTAGACTTGGAAAAAAAGAAAAGGGGGGAAGGGGTTTGAGCTAATTGATTTCACTCTCTACAAGCGTACGACTTGCTCAAGGGCCCATATAAGCACCTGGGAGCTGATGCCGGCAAGGTCGATGCGCTCTTGAAGCAAGCTCAGTCACTTGGTGACAGCCTCAGTGTGGCATTTGATACCCCGAGCGGTATTCCCGACCCAACCATCTTCCTGAACCCAACCAAGAAAAACAGCGGCACTGATAGGAACAATATTGCCGAAATTGGCACCCTGGTTCTTGAATGGACCCGTCTCAGCGACCTGAGCGGCAACAAGACGTACGCCGAGCTGGCGCAAAAGGCAGAGAACTACCTCCTGCACCCCACGGGGGCTCCCGAGGCGTGGCCCGGCTTGATCGGCACCTGGGTCAGCACCGGGGACGGCAGCTTCTTGGACAGCAGTGGCGGTTGGTCTGCTTACGACGACAGCTTCTACGAGTACCTGATCAAGATGTACGTGTACGATCCCAAGGCCTTTGGCGAGTACAAGGACCGCTGGGTGGCCGCAGTGGACTCGACCAGGAAGCATCTCGTGTCGCACCCAACGACCCGGAAGGACTTGTCTTTCCTGTCTGCGTACAGCGGACAGCAAACCATCCCTAGTTCCGGACACTGTAAGTGATAGACACCCCTCGTCAGCCCTCTTCACCGTCAATACTTTTTTCCTGCCGTGTGACGACCAAAAAAAAAGGGGGGATCACCCAACCCACTAACACCAAGGCCCAAAACACAGTGGCCAGCTTCGCCGGCGGCAACTCCTCCCTCGGGGGGGTCG